ACTGGGGATTGAACTCAGGACCCTGCACTTGCCAGGCAGGTGCTTATTCTACTGAGCTATCTCCCCAGCCTGAAAACTATATTTTCATCAAAATAAATTTTTTGAACTTAGAAACAGTCCTGAACTCACAGACAAGCTGGGGTATAATACGAAGCGCTTTCTCCTGCCCTAGGTGAGAGTAGATGCATGAGTACAAATGGCTGTGACGGGCTGTGAGCACTGGTCTGCAACCACCACAGGCCCTCAGGCCCATTCAAGTTCTTCTGACTCGTCCCACTGAAGCCCTCCACAGCAGACAAAAGGCATCACAGCACTTAGCCAGCAAGTCTGTGTTCCACCAGTCTGGAAGACCGCCACTTTCCTTGACTTTTTTAAAATTTTTATTCTTTGTCTTTTTGAGACAGGGTCTCACTACGCAGTTCAGGCTGGCCTTGAGCTCACTACTGTAGCCGAGCCGGACCTCAAGCTCACAGCGATCTTCCTGCTTCAGCCTCCAGAGTGCTGGGATTCCAGGCATGGGCCACACACCCAGCAATGATATTCTCACTTCTGAAGAGTAGCACTCCCGGGGGCTTCTGGAATACCAGCTCTAGCTTTGTCTGATTGCCAGATTATGCATCTCTGCAGGAACATCACAGAACTATCAGGCGTCAGGATCTCAGTTTGAGTCACTGGTGATGTTCACTTAATCACGGGCTTAAGGACAGGCTTCTGCATATAAATTACTCTTTTTCTCTTGGTAATTGCTAAGTATTTTGTGGTAAAATATTCTGAAATTTTTATGTCAGTATGAACACATGGTTTTCTAATTCATTCATTTAGCTACACTGTAAATTTTATTTTATTTTGTCACTTAAATCATCCTTGGCTTGGCCAGGGAAAGTCGATTAAACTTGTTCCATGTCTCTCTGACAGATTCTGTTCATTCTTTGAATGTTCTTATTTTCTGCTCATACTTTTCCTGTCTCAGCTCTGGACTTGGTCATTTTCCCTAAGAGTGTGGTTCCCGCTAATGAGAAACAATTTAGAAATGAAGATCCAAGCCACAGATGGTGGCACAGGCCTGTAATCTCAGCACTTAAGGAGACTGAAGCAGGAGGATCACAAATTTGAGCCCAGTCCAGGAAACTCAGTGAGACTCTGTCTGAAACTAAAAAATAAGGGTTCCAGGCACAGTGGTGCATGCCTAAAATCCTAGCACTCAGGAGGCTGAGGCAGGAAGATCGTTGCAAGCCCGAAGCTGGTCAGGGTACATAGTGAATTCAAAACCAGCCTGAACTACATAGCAAGATCCTATTTCAATAAAAAAAAAAAAAAAAAGTAAAGGGCTGTAGATGTAACTCTATGTAAAGGTCCTGGTTTTAAGTCTCAATACACAAATAAAGCATCACTAGCAGGCAGGATCTAGAGGCCGAGTATGTTCAGAGCTCAGCAATGACCACGGGTACATCAGTGTTAAATAAATGATGTATCTCGGGGCCAGGGAGATAGCTCAGTAGAATAAAGCACTTGCCTGGAAAGTGCAAGGTCCTGAGTTCAATCCCTGGTACCGCCAAAAAAATAAATGATGTATCTACACACGTACATCATTCCCTACATGTATGTGAACATATATCAAAATTTATTCCTGTACCTGTCTACACGTTAAAAGCCAGTTATTTAACCAACAGTTCCAATTTCAGATTCATTCTAACTTCCTTTCCTCATTTATAACTCTCTTTTTTAATGGTAAGGAATTTAGCTACTACACTCTGTGTGTGTATGTTATGGTGGACTGAACCTTTGAACACAGCCACATCCCTGACCACTTAAATTTTTTTGAGTCAGGGTCTCATTAAGTTGTTAAATCTCCCAGGATGGGCTAGAACTTTTGATCTTCCTGCTTCAGTCTCCCAGAGTACTGGGATTGCAGGCTTGAGCCATCCGGCCCACCTGTCAATCTTATCATTCTTAATATAATAATCTGTTTGATTTCCCTGGAATAACCAACCTCCAATCTCTGCTAACACAATCCTCCTATTCAGGGAGACTCTGATCCCCTGCTAAAGGTCACCCAGAAAATTTTGCTAATTAGCGACAAAGAAGTTTTTTTAAAAAAACCTAAGATTTTTTCCCCCGGTACTAGGATTAAACCATTTGCGGAACCAGGGATTGAACTCAGGCCCTTGTTCTTGCCAGGGAAGCACTTATTCCACTGAGCCATCTCCCTGGCCCCTGAACCAGGGTTTTTTGCACTTAGTATAGTCCCTTTACATTTAAAAAATTTTTCTGAGATATTATCTTGCTAAGTTACTAAGTTGTCCAGGCTGGGCTTGAACTTACACTACTCCTGCCTCAGCCTTCCAGAATACTGAGACTGTAAGTGGTATGCCACCTTGCCTGTCTTACAATTTTGTACAACTCACAACAAAGTCTCGTTTTACGCCTATTCCCAATTTACATACAGCCCATCTGCTTCTACATACAGGGTAAAGTAAGTCACTAATGATGGCTGAATACTAACTGTGCACTCAGAACCATCTCTAGCCTAACCTGCTATAGCTAGTGCACTAGAACCCCTCGCAGCTGACACTGCCATGCTCCCACTGTACAGGTGACAAAAGCCAGGACAGACAGGAAGAGCAGGAGCTCACAGTGAGATGTGAATCCAAATATTCTGAGCCCAGAGGCCTTCTTCTTTTTCTTTTTTTTCTTCTTTTTTTTTTTTTTTTTGGCGGAACTGGGTATTGAACTCAGGACCTTGCACTTGCCAGGCAAATACTTATTCTACTGAGCTATTTCCCCGGCCCTCCCAAAGACCGTCTGATCATAACTGAATTCTTTAGGTGAGAGGAGCAAATAGTAACTGATAGCATCTGAGTAAAGGATGGAGCTCCTTCTATTTGTGCTGTTCAGATTAGTGGAAATCTGAAAAGGGGCTGGGGCTGCAGCTCTGGCTTGCCTAGCACATGCAAGGCATGCTCCATCCTCAGCACTGCAGGAGGGAAAAAGAAAACCTGCAAATTATTTAAGTATGCAGGAGTAAGAGATCAGCTTTAAAAAAAAAAGTGTGGGTTTGGGATGTAGCTTAGCAACAGAAGCTCCCACGCAGTTCAGTCCCCAGCACAAGAAAGGGAGGGGCAAGGGCTGGGGAGATAGCTCAGTGGAATAAGTGCTTGCCTGGCAAGTGCAAGGTCCTGAGTTTGAACCCTGGTACCACAAAAAGAAAAAAAAAGGGGGGGGGAGGCCGTATTTACTAAAATGTTTGAATTAAAAATCTTTATATTATTAAAACTAATGAATTTTTAGTAACATGAGAAAAACTGCAGCATTCCAGACCTTGGTATCTTACAATATCCTCTTAAATCACCCTGAAATATCTGTTACTAGTCCTAGCTTGATCTGTCTTGTACAACCAAGAAATTCCTTATATTTTTAAATTCTAGATATAAAAAATTAAAAGCAAAGTGACCTTACCAAAATCTCTTTTACTGCAATTCTCATCACCTTTTCGGTCTCATTTATTTCCAGAGGTCTGGCAATTGCTTCTGTTCTCAGTTCCTAAGGGAAAAAAATAAAGCTATTTACAAATATTTCCAGAAATGCAGTTTTTAAAATAAACGTTCCTCACTATAGATACAGATTATAGGCTAATTCTCCTAAATTTCATTAAAGGTGCTGGGAATGTGGCTCAGTGGTAGAACACATGCTTACTATGTGCAAGATACTAGATCAATCCTTGGTATCAAAGGAATAAAGAAGTTTCATTATAATATGGATCTCTGGTACAAAGTCACCTCTTTAATCATCTCTCACAAACATCCTCCTCCTCCACCTGAGCTCAGGTGCTCCTTTGCAGTTTAAAGTCTCATGTGCCAGTCTCTCCAAAGGCAGACCTGAAGCTAGCGTTCCACATTTGCTTCTTAACCTGCACTCTGGTCAGGGGACTTCAAAGCCCAGAACAGCACAGTTTGCTATCTAAATTTCCATTGACCTCTACAACTCTTTTGTACAATTAAATATCTCCAAGGTGCCTATCATTTGACAAATGCCCACAAAAATTGCCACTATAGCCCTGCCTCTTGCATTGATCAGCCTATCAAGGGGGAATCTGTCAGTGCCTTATTAGTAATGAAAGCTTCTTTCTTTCTATCTTTCTTTTTTTGCACCAGGGATCAAACTCAGGACCTTATGTTTATCAGGCAGGCACTTATGCCACTGAGCTATCTCTCTGGCCCAGCAATGAAAATTTCTTTCTCTCTCTCTCTCTCTCTCTCTCTCTCTCTCTTTTGGCGGAACCAGGGATTGAACTCAGGCCCTTACGCTTGCCAGGCAAGCACTTATTCTACTGAGCCATCTCCTCGGCCCCTGGAAATTTCTAAGACATGAAATTTTAATATAGATGCAGTTATTAAGTTGCTTAGACTAAATATATCACTCCCACAAGCATATGCTGAAATCTTAACCTGAAATGTAATGAACTAAGAGTTGAGTGAGGTCTTTAGCAGGTAATTAGATCATGAGGGTGGTAACCCCATGGATGGGATTAGTGACCTTAGGAGAACAGACCTGGAAGACCAGGCACGGCTGTACATGCCTGTAATCCCAGGAATGGGTGGCTCGGGCAGGAGGATCATCACAAGTTTGAGGCCAAACTGGGCTACACAGTGAGTTCAAAGCCAGCCTAAATTGCATAGTGAGACTGTCTTAAAAACAAAACAAATGAGGATATACCTCGTTGGTACTGCACCTGCCTGGCAAATGCAAGGTTTGATTCCTGGTACAAAAAAAAGAAAAAGAAAAAGAAAAAAAAAAAGACCTTGGAGAGCTCCCTCACCCTTCTGCCATGTGAGGACATAGCAAAAACTCACTGTCTCATTGGGCATAGTGGTATAAATCCATATTCCTAGCTATTTGAAAAGCAGGAAAAAAAAAAGTAGAGGAAAAAGGATTTCAAGTTTAAAGCCAGCCTGAGCAACTTAGCAAGACCTTTTCTCAAAGTAAAAATTTAAAGAAAGGCAACAAGAACAAGGCCTGGGTTCAATGCCCAACACCACAGAGGTAGGGGGAGCACTGTCTATGAGGAATAGGTCCTCACCAGATATTAAATTTGCCAGTACACTGATCTAGGACTTCCTACTCTCCAGAACCGTGAAAAAAAAAATATCCAGTTTTCAAATCAAAAAGTTTGTCACAATTTATTGTAGTGGCCTGAACAGAGTAAGTCAAACTTGAGATTCTCCTGCTTTGGCCTCCCAGACTGCTGGGATTATAGGTGTGTATCACTATACCTGGCTCTGAGAGCACCTTACCAAACCTCATCCATATTTGCCTTATCCTGTGGCATGCCTTATCACGTCCACTGGTTGAAAACTACACTATCAAGGGATTCTGGCTTACACAGAAGGAAGAGCTTTAGGCCTTGCCTGTGCTTGGCACTGATTCTCAATAATAGCTTATTCAGTGCTTGAAAAACACATGTGGAGGGGCTGGTGAGATGGCTCAGTGGTCTAAAGCACCTACTTAGAACAAGCTTAGCAAAGCACAGGGACCACGGTTCAATCCCCAGCACCTCATGCCAGCCAGCCCCGCCCCCTGGTGGGCTGAGCTGGCCACACACACACACATAAATAAATAAATAAATAAATAAAATTAAAAAAAAAAAAAACATGTGGGATAGGGGCTCCTCCTCAGACCTTGACTGCATGACTGCAAACATTTGAGAAAAACCATGTTCAGAGGCCATATTTTCCTTGGGAACAGGTCAGCCATGGACTACTTATCACTCACTGTAAGACAATGGAAGAGCCCCTGGGGGATGCTGCGAAGTCTCACGATGAATCTATGTCTCCACTGGTACCTAGCCAGTGACCAGCTCCTATCTCCAGGTCTCTCTCGAGTGCATGTACTACTTCATGGTGAGCAGAAAACACAGAAAGCCTGAAGTTGCTTCGTGAGTCTCCTGCATTGGTAGGCAGAACTTAATGGCAGTTTTGTTTTGCTACCCACCCTTCACCAGGTGGCAAGCTCTAGGTCAGTATATGAAGAGAGGGACAGTGACCTGGCATCTGACAGTCCTACTTTGTTTGCTTCCTGAGTACAAATGAAAAGCAGAAGAAAAAGTACCATTATGCTACAGCAACCAGAACACAAGCAAGACAGTGACAGAGTGGTCAAAGCTGACATATCTGGCAGAAAGTAAAATAAATTCTATTTAATATAAAATCACTAGCACATATGCTTCAAATGCCATCAATCTACTACATTTTTTTTAAAGAGTTCCCTCCAGGTGTAGTGGTACACACTGTAATTTCAGCCCTCAGGTGGCTAAGGGAGGATTGCCATGATTTCAGGGCCAACCTAGACTACATAGTGAATTCAAGGACAACTAAAACTCCACAGTGAGGCTCTATCTTAAAAATACATACATACATACATACATACAATCAAAATAATGTAAATCAGTAGTGCCAGGTGTTCTGGCACATGCCCGTAAACCCAGTACTCAAGAAGCTAAGGCAGGAGAACTGCTGTGAGTTTTGGCCTGCCTAGGGTACATAACAAGTTCAAAGCTAGCCTAAACTACATAGTAAGCCTCTGTTTCAAAAAACAACAAAAACCAGTACCTCCCAAATTCTGCTTCTCATTAGCACCTCCTGGTGATCTTTCAACCATGATGCCTGCTCTCAGGCACAGGCACACTAACTCATGGGCAAGAAGAGAGTCTCGATATGGGTGAGTCTGTGTAGTAAAGGTTAGGAAACACTCTCAAAGGCTGCTTGCATGGAGTGGAGCATGCATACTCCTTGACTGGCACTGTCTGGAATAAGGACTGAAAAGAAGTTTCCAGATACGCAAACCCCAACTGCCTGGGAGTGACTAGCATGTTGATCCCAAACTTGCCTGTATGTCAGAATCACTTGGGAGAATTCTGAAACTCCCAAAGCCAGGTCATATTCCACAATGATAACATCAGAGTAAAAGCCAGGCTTTTAAGAGACTGGTTCTTAATGATCCCCACATTAGCTGAATATATTGGTCCATACCTGTAATCCTAGCACTATGGAAGGCTGAGTCAGGAGGATCATAAGTTCAAGTCCAGCCTATTCAACTTAGCAACTTAGTGAAACCCCATTTCAAAATAAAAAGGATGGGATGTAGCTCAATGTCAAGGTCCTGGGTTCAAATCCCAGTACCACATACACAAAAGATCCTAAAGTAAATTCAATGAGCAACATGAAAAAAGCACTGTAATTAATAATGTCTGCCACAGACACAAGGGGAGTCTCAGTGATATGTCACCTATTTGCCATTCCTCAATTAGAAGCTAAGGATACTAAAACCTGTGCCATCATTTATAGCCATAACACCTAATACTTTATATCACTTTATTTATTTATCTTAAAACAGGGTCTTGCTACGCAGTTCAGTCTGTCCCTGTGCTCACTTTTGTAGCCCGCCAGCTGGTCTAGAACTCGCAGTGATCCTCCTGTCTCAACCTCCCAAATGCTAGGATTACACATGTGTGCTGCCACACCTGATTCTGGGCCAGCAGGGCATGCCTGAGGTTCCTGGGGCTGGCAAGGCATGCAGTGCTGGGGATCAAACTTGGGTCCTTGTGTTTGCCAGGTAGGTGCTTACACCTATGAGCTATCTCCCCAGCCCCTATATCACTTTAAATTGCAAACATTATCTCTTTCAATCAGATGTAGCTCAAGAAAATGAAACCTAAAAAGCAAAATACATAGTTTAAAAGAAAACCTGGAAGAAAAAAACTGCATTCTTCATCTAAAACAGCTTACCCTCAACTCCACTTCCTTTCCCAGCAAGTCATACAGAAATGCTCCTTTGGAGGTGATTTCAGAAGCAAGCTGCCTGGCTGCTTTCAAATCTGCAATCTGGAAGGGAAATACCATGACGGGAACACGTTCAGTAGCTGGCCTAGTCCCACCAACGGCTGCCTTGAGGTGGGACACAGCACTGCAGAGTATGTGTTTCTCCAGCTCCCACTTGCACTGTACAAGAAGGAGCTCCCAGGACACCTGCTTAGGAAACCTTGATCTTCCAGGGCACTTTATCTCTAAAAAAATCAAATGTCAAATTAAACTAAATCCACAAAGAAAAGGTATACACAGGAAAAAGCTGACACGTTTCCTGTTTGAAATAGGTTACAATGATGCCCTGACAATAGTGGGGTAACCAAGTGAAGGGGTACTCTGAGGGACACATTTTTAATGGCTGGGATCCAAAATATCCCCCCAAAGGCTCATGTTGAAGGCCTGGTTGCCAGCTGATGGGCTTCTGTGTTGGGGACCACAAATTCACAATTGCTAGTTTTACATACCTCCCTAAGAGATGAATGGAGGAAGCTTGGGATTATTAAGACATATGTAAGAATGTTCCACACTAGGCTTTCAATAAATAGTTACAAATGAATTCATTGTGATTTTCCTTTTAGCTCCATTCTGATGAGCACAAAACTGACTGCCCTTAGTCAAGAATAAGCAACGAAGTGGTTCTATGATCACCCACCCCTCATTCCCAAGTCTAAGAAATAAACACTCCCTTGCTACAAGTGTTTGAAGCAAAAAAAAAAAAAAAAAACCACTTGTGCCATTTTGGGGGCCTGCCCCTTAGCTCAGTTCTTTAAGTGGCTGCTTCAACAAAGCAGTCAGGCTCAGGTTGCTGTGGTTCGATCCCCACAACACAAGCCAGTCAGTCATGCCTTGAAGGCATTCGGAGAAAAAAAACAAAAACAAAACACTTCTACAAGTGTTTGGTTGTCCTTACCTTGGAGCTAAGGTCAAACTTGAACTTGCTGATATCTTCCTCTCCTACTTTAGAGCCCTCCATCCCTTTGGTCTTCATAGCATTATAAAGGACGGACGTGATCTTCAGCAGCTCTTTCACCGCATACCCATCTGCTTGGTAAAGCTTCTTAGTATTGAGTTTTATATGTGCCTTTGTGGCCTGTTTTAAGGCAAACAGAACAACAAAACCAGACATGGTGGCACATGTTTGTCATTTCAGCATTCTAGAGGCTGAGGCAGGAGGATCACTGTAAGTGTGAGGCTAGCCTGGGCTGTACAGTGAGTTCAAGGCCAGCCTGAACTGTACTGTGAGGTTCTGTCTCAAAAAACTAAACAAATAAAGCAAAAATAATAACAACAATAGTAATAACAAAGAAAACAGATTAAGAACTCTACCTTTTAAAGTCTAAACCAAATCCCAGGTAAGTAATTTGTAAACATCTCTGTCAAAAATTGAAAGAACCAAGGGCCGGGGAGATGGCTCAGTAGGATAAGCGCTTGACTGACAAATGCAAGGATCTGAGTTCAATCCCCAGTTCTGCCAAAAAAAAAAACACAAAAACTGAAAGAACCTTATAGTATTATGAGTAAAACTCCTAAGTGACACAGTACATTGTTAAGTATAGAAACTGGTACACCAATTTGGTAAGACACCAAAATTACAAATGAACATTTTTTGATCCAATAATTCCAATAGGAAGAACTTAACGGATATAATTACACATATGCAAAGTGATACACATAGGTTATTTCTTTCTTTTCTTTCTTTTTTTTTTGTGGCGGAACCAGGGATTGAACTCAGACCCTTGCACTTGCTAGGGAAGTGCTTATTCCACTGAGCCATCTCCCCGGCCCCCACATAGGTTATTTGTTACAGTATTATTTCAAAGAGCAAAAGTTGGAAATGACCAAAATACCTACTTAGATAACAATACCTTAGGTAAATTACATAAATTACGGCATATCCGTGTAAGAATACTAGTCAAGGGATTGGGGAGGAAGCTCAGTGGTATAGCGCCTGCCTGACAAGCATGAGGCACTGAGTTCAATTTCTAGTATAAAAAAATACATAAATAAATACAATAAACAAATGGGTTGTGGTGGAGCTCAATTTTGTATGGCAGAGGCCCTGGGTTAATCCCCAGTACCTAACTTAGTTAATTTCACTAAAAATAAACAAAAATCTTAATATATAGTGAATTAAAAACAAACTAAAAACAGAAAAACTTTACTGTTGAAATGGCTTCACAGAACCTGGCAATGGGATAGTTGTAAAAAGAAAACTCAATTTGAAAATAGAGGGACCAGGGAGGTAGCTCAACAGCATAAGCACCTGCCTGAAAGAAACCCTAACTAGGATTCACCTCTTTCTGATTGTATAACTTCACAAAATAATCGTGAACTGACCATGAACTGGGCTACTGCCTTAATGAAGAAAACTCGGTCCTGTTCCGTCTCAACATCAGAAGGGATGTCAGTCTGAGGCTCATACCTATTGCAGAGAGAGAGAGAGAGAGAAAGAGAGAGAGAGAGAGAGCACAAACAAGTTCTTTTGCAAAAAGTCCACTATGGAGAAGCAGGCAGGCACCTGAGAGGGCAGTGGGTCTCTAACACAGGACTCCCAGAGTGCCCACTTACAGCCTTGAGACTAACAAAAACTCTAAAAGCAACCCAAATTATCAAGGGAACAAATGACAACCCAAAAACAGATTCAAGTGATTTAAAAATCAAATGTAGGGTTCAGCATACAAAATCAGATCTATCTAAGACCTTGAGGTTTTGTGAGAAGTCATAACTGAAACAATTTAACTAAAGAAAATTTTTGTGAAAATCAGATTTCATTGGTACATTTTAGGCAAATACAGCATATGCATCATAGAGAATTTGTACCTGTACATGATACAACTTTTTTTCCCCATTCCTTGGCCCTCCCTCAACCCCTCCTACTCTCCCCATTTACAAAAGCTTTGTTTCTATGTTTCCCTCTTCTCATTTTTTTGTTTTTTACTTTTCCCCCTCCCTGCTTCCTTCTTCTGCTCTCCATTTAAATACTTTTAACCTACAAAAAAATTTTTAAATACATTTTATTATTCATGTATTTATTTTTGAGACAGTGTTTCACTATGCACAATAGTTCAGGCTGGCCTTGCACTCACTCTGTAGCCCAAACTGGCCTCACGCTCACACTGACCCTTCCTGCCTCAGCCTTCCCAGTGTGGGATTATGGGTATATACCACCATGCCCACGTAAGAATAAATTTTAAAAACTCATAACTGTTACTCTGGCCAACAGCCTTTAACTGTGACATAGACAACAGGGCTAAATAGTTTGCTTTGAGAAGTTACTACTGAAGTTACTTTCTTTGAATCAACTATCATCAGGGTCAGCAGCCTTTGACCTATTTTTGCACAACCTGTGAACTAAGGATTTTTTTTTTTTTTAACAATAAAGATTATGTGACAGGGACCTTGTGTAACCTAAATTTTATATGTAGCAAAATGTAAAATATTTACTATCTGGCCCTTAACACAGAAGGTTTCTGATTCTAAATTACTAGATTTTTTTCACACAAAACCTAAATTACATCTAAGCAAGTACAAGGCTATCGCTGTTATTCTGTGTGAAGAAGCCAAAAAGAAGCCAGCACTACTCTGTTGAGTCCCCTCCCACAGTACCCTTTAAATTTAGCTGGTGTGTGTGTGTATGTGTGTGTGTTTGTGTGTGTGTGTGTGTATGTATGTGTGTATGTTACAAGGTCTTGCTATATTCCAGGCTGGCCTTGAACTCACTATCTAGCCCAGGCTGATCTCAAACTCATGGTACTCCTCATGCCTCAGCCTCCTGAGTGCTGGCATTACAGGCATGTGCCACCAGGCCTACAAAATGTAGCTGATTTTCAACAAGTTACAAATGAGTCTGTCAAACTGTAAAAACTCTTCTTCATAGCAACAGTAACATTTTTCTAGGTGGATAATGATTAAAATCTAGTACTTAACCTTCCCGATTTCAATAAAGGAGGTTCTAACCTTTTCACAAGCCAGAGAAGCACTTCAGATACAAGTCCAAAGTTAGGTGTGCGGAAGTTTTCCATGGAAATATGTCGTGGGTACCCCAGGGCTCTCATCATCTCTATGAAATCTGCACAAGATAAGATGTAATTCAGTCAAATCTTCATCAAACAGCAACTACTTATTAAACATGGCCTCTATTTTCCCAAGCTACTGGCAGTTTAGGAACTATCAACTTTCTAAAAGGTAAAGAAAAAAAGGGAGTACACTTTAAAATTACTAATTTGCTACCTGAAAAACATCCATTTAAGTTCAATGGAAGTACATGCTTTACAGGAAAACTGGGTTGTGGGATTCACTGTGGCTTTTATTTCTCTCTTTGAGATCTTTACTACTCAAAATAATATACCTGGACAGAACAATGGGGCAAGTCAAGTAATGGAGGAATGAACATTATCACATTACGCTATGTACAAATCTGCCAATAAATCTACAAATCTGCCAATTCATAAGCAATACAAAAGGGGGAACATGGTACAAGTGTTATACATGCTGCACTCTGCTTCCTCTGATGTTAACATCTTTTGTACTGCGGTCCATTTACCAAAACTAGGAAATTAACTTCAGTACTATATTTAGCTTAACTTGTTCTAAGTAGGTGCTTTAGACCACTGAGCCATCTCACCAGCCCTTCAGTACTATATTATAAGCCAAATTAGTCATTTTCTCCACTGGAACCTCTTTTTTTGAATCCAATCCAGTATAATATGCCTTATTAAAGTGTCATATCTAAAATAAAAAATAAAACACCTGGCCTTATAAAACATTACAAGGAAAAATATTTTTAAAATTTTAACAATGATTGTTTGCGGGGGTTGGTAAGGAAAGATGAAGTTCAGACTTCTGAGTTGTCTTAGTGAACATATGGGGCCATAATAATAACATCGATTTTAAGGATTAGTTGTTCTGTTCTTGGAGAAATCTTAGTGGCTGAACTACAGAGCAAGATACAGATTTTATTATAAAGCAGACCGATAAATAGTAATACTAGTACATGCTTTTTGTTTTGTTTTGCTTATATGGATGTGGTGGTGCATGCTTGTAATCGCAGCACAGGAAGCTGAGGCAAGAGGATCATTGCAAGTTGAAGACCAGCCAAGGCTACAAAATGAGCTCAAGGTCAGCCAGCATGAACTGCATAGCAAGATACTGTTTCAAAAAGACCAAAAAAATTAAAAAAAAAAAAAATATATATATATATAATTTCAATATGTTTTGTTTTGCTTTCAAAGATGACCTTGAATTTATTAATCTTCCTGCCTCAGCCTCCCATGTTCTGGGATTACAGATGCGAGCCATCACACTCAGCTGTTACTATTACCTGTTCATAGCGTGGGTTGGGAGCATCTCAGGAAAAGCTACCGTGCTGCTGAGGAAGCGTGACTTTGAACACAATGAACACTTGTGGAGTTTCCATGACGTGCCAAAACCTATCCTCAGTGTGCTTTCTGGTGATGTAGTACCTGTCCTCACTCTTCCTGAAGAAAGACATTCAAAGGTCCTAGCAACAGTCACAAATACCTACCTAGGCGCTGGAAGTTAGGTGGGATTCTACTGGACAGGGAAGAGATGAGCAGAAGAAAGCGCAAAGTCACAAAGGGACTCTTGTTTTTGACAAATCTCAATACAGAATGCATAAAAAAAATAAAGCAGCCTTCTCCTCACAGCAAGGCATTGCCTAAAATACCACTTTTTGCTAAGTAGCAGGAGTCAGTCAGTAGTCTTGTTAATTCTGTAGTATTACAGAGAAATGGAGACTGATTCGGATTAAGTTTCTTACTGTACATTGTACTACTGCATAGCATTCAGGATTGTATTCAGAAATTCTCATTGAGGGCTGGTGAGATGGCTCAGTGGTCTAAAGCACCTACTTAGAACAAGCTTAGCAAAGCACAGGGACCGCGGTTCAATCCCCCAGCAC